CCCTTCAACCTAATAACCTGCATAAACCAATTGCAAATGTATACATATACATATATATAATATTGACTGTATATAATGCATTAACAATTTTGGTGAAGTTAAAAAATTAGATTTATAAAGTTGGTATTTTTGTACCATGAAGAAAAAAATAAAAAAATTCAGCAAGCTTTAAATTATCACACTGTAAATTATATTATCTTTTCTGTTTAAACAAGTCAGCCTGACAATAATTCTGACAATTGTTGTTTATTTTTCACAATCAGAGGCAATGTGTTGAATTTGCTTTAAAAGCAAAGCCTGTACGGAAATACATCCCCAAGAATCCAACGCAGTATAAAGTATGGAAAATTGTAACATCAAGATACTTTGAATATTTTATATTCATACTTATCATGATCAATACGATCATATTGGCCATGAAGGTAAGTTTACTGTATTTATGTGTGACATAATTTAAACATTAGCATTGGGATTATGTATACTTTTAGTCATAGTCAATAGCCTCTCCAGGTCAACCAAAGCATTAACATTGAACTCCTGTACAAATTATGTCAAAAACTTGGTGGTGTTTTATTGTTTTAGAGGAGTACTATTTTGTGGTATTGAATCCATACTACGCGATATCATTCAATCCTTTGTTATTTTTTGACCCTGGTGTTATTTTTGACCTCTCATAAAATAACAATAAAAAAGTGCAACTCTGAATCAGGAGATACAGGAGTTAACTTGTGGCTTTATTTTTTGACATTGTCTCCAGTATTAACCGTTAATACGCTCTGAATGTTTTTGATGCAATTATTGCCCTTGATCTGATAATTTAGTTTGAATTGAGTTTAATATTATTATTTTTTTTCATGTGTTTAGTATCATGGTCAGTCAGAATCTTATGAAGATGGACTGGATTATGTCAACATTGTCTTCACAGCTTTCTTCATTATAGAGTTTATGCTCAAAGTAGTTGCCTTCAAACCCAGAGTAAGTTTGTTTCAAGATTTCAACACTGTATTTCTCAGTTATTGTGAAAATTTATATGATAGATCAAGAGACAGAAGAAATGAACATATCATTTAAGAATACCTAGTTCTACCTCTTAATTCACACTCAATCAATCAGATATTATCATATTATAACTTGAGGTCATTTGCATATCTTGACTGTCACTATTCTTATTTTTATTCACAGCACTACTTCAGTGACTCTTGGAATGTATTTGATTTTGTCATTGTGCTCGGCAGTATTATTGACATTATTTTGCAATACATTACTGTAAGTACCTACAGTATGTCATCGGTGTACTGTGTATGTTTAGTTAGGGAAGTTACATCATACCTAAAAAAAGTGATGATGTCATAGATTTATACCACATTAGTGATGATGTCATAGATTTATACTACATTAGTGATGATGTTGTAGATTTATACCACATTAGTGGTGATGTCATAGATTTATACTACATTAGTGATGATGTCGTAGATTTATACAACATTAGTGGTGATGTCATAGATTTATATGCCTGCTGTTAGATTGTGTGTGTTTCATTTAATTTTTGAGAGATGTGACCAACGCATGATTTTTTTTTTGACATTGACAAATCTACAAACTGACAAATTAGTTTAGTATTGAATTGTAATAGTTTGGTGTGCATGAATCAATTATGTAATTTGGAAAACAGGCTCTCAATTTATTATTTTTTGAAAACTGACAATTTTGCTCCCTTTTCTTCTTTATGTGGCCATAGATCATTGGAAAGGTGAGCAGCCTATTTTTCAAATCACAGCGTGTGTGACTGGTCATAGAGTTCTTGGGAAGGTCATTT